TTTATGCAAATACAACTGTTTTACAAAATCTCATCATCTGAGAAAATCATGTTACAGTCCTCTTTGAAAGTTCAACAAGGAACAGCAACCGTGAATATTTAAATCTGCCGGGAGTATGCATGGGAGAATTACTGAGGTTTTTCTTTGACAGCTTAGAAAAATTGCGCCTAGATCTCCATGTTTTAAACCAATTATATGGCCCCTCTTAAAGAACAGCTTCTTTTCTCTGACTTCATTGTCTTGGTTTGTTCTATCAGAGAGCAACAATGGAGAACTCAGGCACTCCCTGCAACTATGTCATGGTGGAGCTGTTCCAGGCTTTGATTTATAAGCAGCCTCTGCTTCAGGATTTCAGTCTAAAGTAAAATTTGGAACGAAAACATTCTAAAAGAATGAAGCCATTTATAATGAAGGAGAATCACAATCTTGAAAGTCAAACTACTCAGAGAGCATGGAAATAAATCCTTCCAGCCTGCCAGGAGTACATATACCGTGTTTCCCCGAAAATAAGACAGGGTCTTATATTTATTTTTCCTCAAGAAGACACCCTAGGGCTTATTTTCAGGGGATGTATTATTTTTTTTTAAGGACAGTACAGCCATTGACATGTATTCAAATAGAGTGAAGTCGTTTTCTTCTGGAACATCATCATCACTCTCCAAACCCCGAATCCCATCCTGAATGTCTTGCGACTCTATTTCCTTTAGAACCATCAGCCCCAATCTCTCCTGTTGAGCCATAGAGCTCTCACGGGGCGGATGAGCAGGGCTGCTGGTCTTCTTGACTGCTCCGCGACGACACGCACGGGTTGTGCAGATGCTGCGCAGCCACGCCCGTCACTAGGGCTGATTTTCAGGGTGGGGCTTCTATGGCGCACGTGCTCAGACATTCTGCTAGGGCTTATTTTATGGGTAGGGCTTATTTTCCGGGAAACACAGTAGAACATCATTGAGCCTATGACTTGTCCACACACACACACACACACACACACACACATGTACCCCACATACATAGGACAACTCAAATAGCTCGCTTCCTTCTCTTCTTATACTTCGTATGTGGTCAAAGCAAATTAATAAGAATAGTCACTCAGCTTATAAAATAAATGACCTTGTAATTGCAACCAAAAGGCAGATAACATCTATCACTCTAGTTATTTCCAAACGTTTCAAACTCAGACAATAACTCTGCTTGTTGACAGGGACCCGGTGGGATGTGTCATTATCATGTATTGTTGGGTATTGGAGCCTTCCGCGTGCAGCCTCTTATTTATTTTGCCAATCTGATGGAGCAGGCCCCATCAATCTCACTCCTTATACGAGGAAGCTCAGGCTTGAAAAGTGAAATCATGTGTCAAACTTTTCAGAGTCAGGAAGTGATGGAGTCTATTATCCAAATCCAGGTCTTCCTGCTGCCATAACCAGTGTCTTGCTAACTGGAGACGCACACACGCTGGGCTTGGATCTCTTTTGCGGGTTAGGTTCTAGAATCAGCAGGCGAGGAAGAAGTGAACATTTAAATTACCCTTGAGAAATCCCTAACCATGACTACTTCCCAGAAATCCCAACAGAACAAGTTTTTCTTTTCTTTTCTTCTTCTTTTTTTTTTTTTTTTTTTTTTGAGAACTAAAATATATTGCTGTTTCTTTGGACATCAGAGGAGGAAGTTGGATTCTTTTTAGAGGTAGTGGGATATAAAAACGTGTCTTTAAATTCCAGAATCATCTCTGGAGAACCAAGATACTCATAGTATGAGAGTCCCACAGCAATGAAACTAACTGAATGAATCTCACGTTTTCTCTGTTTTCTCTAAGTCATACCCAGTCTGAGTAGACTTACCCCATATCGTTTAAATTGTAATTTTCTCCTCTCCTCTCCTCTCCCCTCCTCCTCCTCCTCCCCTCTCCTCCTCCTCTCTCCCCCTCCTTCCTTCCTTCCTTCCTTCCTTCCTTCCTTCCTTCCTTCCTTCCTTCCTTCCTTCCTTCTTTCCTTCCTGGAGAGAAGGGGTAATTCCTAAGCATATAAGTGAATTCATTTGAATTAATTGTACATGTGATACAGTTCCGATGTTTTTATTATAGATACACATCAAATACCAAAATACTTAGAAGCGCTCATCTTTGAGACATCACCTAATGTTTTCACCTGCAATGTTTGCTTGCATTTCTGCTGCACCGGCCAGGTTTTTACCTATTCTCATTCCTAAGGGAAAGACTCTAAGAAGGAAAGATTCCATCCAAAATGCCCGCCACTGATACCACCTTCATTCTTTGCCGGTGCATTTCAACGTAGCATTAGCTGAAAATATGAGCTGGCGAGTTCCTGCCGTGTCACAAGGGCTTTTCCTCTTTGCAGAGTCATTGCATAGCAAGTACTGGTATATCACGTCTTAAGTTTCCATCAAATGACACCAGGAAAAAACAACCATACGAAGCTCAAATACTCACCACCGACCTGCCTATACAATATGATCTTTCATGTATACTCAGAGCAAACACTTGTTTTGATCCTAAGGCAAGGAGAGCTGTCTTTACTGAATAATAACCAAGATCTTGACCTCATGAATACTGTAAACCTTGTAACTGAATGGGCAGTATCCTTCCTTTGCTTTATCCAAGCACAAGGCTCAGTGTTAAATTTGGGACCCAGTTTTAGCAGTGATGTAGCGCAAGCTGGCATCTGAACCTTCTCTCTGAGGCATGTCTTACTATTTTACCCGTATTTTCTCTTCGTCTTATCTATTTGCTTCTATTCTGATATTTTTCTAAGTCAGCCTCCAGCCTTATTTTGATCAAAGCTGAATTAAAAAAAAAAAGGAAGAAACAACAGAGAGTAATCAAAAATGATTAGGTGTCTTTTTGGGAATTCATGAAGTCCACTGCTAATGAGTCCTATACATCACATCATGCCACGAGCCCAAGTTAAGATTCCTCTCCAAATCAGAAAGAAGTTTCTAACTGAATTACAGCAGAAAATGTCCCCCGAGGAACAGAGCAGCCAGGGCTTCCATGGTAACTGAGACAGACATGGTCTCCTATTCATCTTGGGGACAGGACAGGAAGACAAAACAAACAAGAAATTATGCCAGCCGGGCGTGGTGGCTCACACCTGTAATTCTAGCACTCTGGGAGGCCGAGGCGGGCGGATTGCTCCAGGTCAGGAGTTCAAGACCAGCCTGAGCAAGAGTGAGACCCCGTCTCTACTATAAATAGAAAGAAATTAATTGGCCAACTAATATATATAGAAAAAGTGAGCTGGGCATGGTGGCGCATGCCTGTAGTCCCAGCTACTCGGGAGGCTGAGGCAGGAGGATCGCTGGAGCCCAGGAGTTTGAGGTTGCTGTGAGCGAGGCTGACGCCATGGCACTCACTCTAGCCTGGGCAACAAAGTGAGACTCTGTCTCAAAAAAAAAAAAAAAAAAAAAAGAAGAAAGAAATTATGCCAACCTATGATAAGGGTTGCAGGGAAAACGAACTGAAAAACACAAGGCCAAGCCAACACAACCAGGAACGGTGGTGTGAGAGTGTCTGTGTGTGTTGGAACCTAGAAACGGTGTTTAGGAGGACATGGCACGTCCGTGGCTAGGAGCTGTCTGGTCAACAGTGTTAAGACAGAAGAGAGACAATAAGAGTGACCCAGATTTCCCGTGAATTTCTGAAATTGTAGCTAACAAGGATGCAATGAATAAAAACCAAGGGGTTTACAGACAAGCCCTAGCTCCCTTCTTTTAGGATCGATGTACAGATATGTCGACCATATGCTGAAGCTTTAAATGCCTCAGTAGATCCGTAGTCTGACAGTCAAACACTCACAGCTCTGGCCTCAGGATTTATGACATCATTCGTCACAAAATGGACTTCTCTTTCTATCGCCGTGCTTGTTTGTTTGCTTTTACAGTCAGTTAACTGTTCTGGTCAATAACAATCTGGACTGGATGTAATTCTTACCAACAAAAACTGAGGACCTAATCTTAGCGTCAGAGCTGTATGGCAATACCCAGGCAAGTATATGTGTCTATGTTTACTACACCCAGCCTATCCAGATAAGGAAACCTGAATCTTTTTTGTTTGTTTGAGACAGAGTCTCACTCTGTTGCCCAGGCTAGACTTAGAGTCGTGGCATCAGCCTCGCTCTCAGCAACCTCCAACTCCTGGCCTCAAGCTATCCTCCTGCCTCAGCCTCCCAAGTAGCTGGGACTACAGGCATGCGCCACCATGCCCGGCTCATTTTTCTCTATATATTTTTAGTTGTCCAGCTAATTTCTTTCTATTTTTAGTAGAGACGGGGGTCTCACTCTTGCTCAGGCTGGTCTCGAACTCCTGACCTCAAACGATCCTCCCATCTTGGCCTCCCAGAGTGCTAGGATTACAGGTGTGAGCCCCCGCGCCCGGCCTAGACATGAATCTTTATTGTCAGGATTCCTAACTAGGAGAATCTTGTCTCGTTTTCCAAAGTCTGCACAGGGGAAGACAGCTGGCCAAACATTGGGCCCTATTACTTCCGATGTGAGCTAAATAAATAAACGAAACCCAAGAGAATCCTCTCCGAGTACTTCTAAATAGAACCTTCTTTCTCAAAATAATCCCAAGTTCAAAGACTATTTCTCTAAACACATGCTTACTGGCCTGGGCAACTCATTTAATTTTGTTCTGGCCAAGTCATGTGGCCAAGGCATCACTGCCATTCTTCAAATCACAGGGGCACTGCGCCTGGGTTCACCTACTTCCAAACAATTCTCCCGTGTTGCAGAGTGATGGGGAGGAAGAACATGCACAGAGAGGCGTGTCTAGCCACATGGCCCCAGTCTGCATACACAGCCTGGAATCCGCCCTGTTACAGGTAGACCATGATGTCGATGAAGACTCTGCAGGGCTTTGGGAACGTGTGGGCGTCGGGCCAGGAGGATCACTTGTAGGGTTGGTCTCATAAGGTCTGCAGAGAACCTGCCAGCCACAGACACCTGGACAGGGTCCACTCCATCCCTGCACAATGGCTTCCTACCTGCCTCTTTGGAAATCTGCGTGAAGGACTCCACACCTTTCTCTCCGTAGCTTCCCTCAGACGCGAGGGTCGACACGTAGTTCCAGCCCAGGGCCTTGACGATGTCCACCATGGCCTGGGCTTGGAAGGAGTCGGGGGGCACCACGCGGGAGAAGAAGTCGTAGCGGCGGTCGTCGCTCAGCTCCGGGGCCGTCGACGCGTAGCTGATCTGGGGGATCTGCAAACACAGGAGAGCGCCGCGTTGAGAGCGCGCCGTGGCACCAGAGAGACAGACAGACAGACAGACAGACAGACAGACAGACACAGACCAGTCGCATCTGTGACAACGCGCTCGTGGCCAAACACGGGGCTTCAGCTGCCAAGAAGACGTGTGATTTTGCAGGCATCGCCGCGTACCCGTGCACCGGCCGCCTCTGTCACTGCGACCGTCCACCTCCTAGCGGCACAAAAGCATCGCCTGTTCTGCCTCGCGCCTCTTATTTTCTCCTCTTAGGGAGAGGGAGTGAGGAGGTCAGCGTGGGGATTACAAGGTCAGGGGCACGGCTGTTTGGGGAGGAAAGGATTCGTAACCATTCCAGCAGGCCCCGGGCACGGTGGCTCACGCCTGTCATCTTGGCACTCTGGGAGGCCAAGGCCGGAGGATCGCTCGAGGTCAGGAGGTCCAGACCAGCCTGAGCAAGAGCAAGACCCCGTCTGTACTATAAATAGAAAGAAATTAGCCAAACAACTAAAAAAAAAAAAATAGAAAAAATGAGCCGGGCATGGTGGCGCATGCCTGTAGTCCCAGCTACTCTGGAGGCTGAGGCAGGAGGATCGCTTGAGCCCAGGAGTTGGAGGTTGCTGTGAGCGAGGCTGACGGCACGGCACTCACTCTAGCCTGGACCACAGAGTGAGACTCTGTCTCAAAACAAACAAACAAAAGACCATAACCATTCCAGCAAACATGTTGTATCATGCTTTACTTCAGGGGTCCTCAAACTTTTATACAGGGGACCAGTTCACTGTCCCTCAGACCATTGGAGGGCCGGACTATAGTTTAAAAAAAAAACATGAACCAATTCCTATGCACACTGCACATATCTTATTTTGAAGTAAAAAAAACAAATGGGCAAAAATACCTGCATGTGGCCCGCGGGCCGTAGTTTGAGGACGCCTGGTTTAGAACATGGGGTGATAATAGTCAAAGTAGAAAATAGTATGCTTTTCCTTACTGGGGTTACCCAGTCCCCACATTGGACTCCCCAAGTTTTCTGTGACATATTGTCATATTCTCCTTCTTGTCCAAAGGCAAGGCAATGTTTTTACATATTCCTATCATGGCTGCTTTAGAAGTAATGTCTACTATTTAGCCAACTCTTGGTTTTGTGCCAGTCATATTCTAAGAGTCTTATATGCATTGCCTTATCTAATCATCAGCAAATACTCACACTACACCACGTCAGACTACTACGTTACACTAATAGTAACTTGTTCTACGAAAGAGGAAATTGAGACTTGGAAGCAGAACACGGCCTTGCCTTGGGTCACCAAGCTATAAACCACAGAGCACTGTGCAAATCCCAAACTGCCCATTACAAATGTCTGAACTCTTACTTAAACAAATGATATACATTGCCAGATTGCCACTAAAATATTTTAAAAATATGCATGAAACGACAAAGGCTAGTAGGTAACTGGAGTCCAGGCCAATTTCTGTTCACAGCATTGAGTCTATAGCCACTAAAAGTTGTTTTCCTGGTCAGTCTTAGACTGCTGTTCACGCATTTTATTTAAACGCCTTGGAAAAGCTTGTATAAATATCTTAACAGAATGAGTTACCTATATCCCGTCTGTAGTTCAGAGGTTATAAGTTTTGGGTAAAGAATATATCAACCGAATAACGGCTTTGGGCAGAGAAATAGAGGGAGGGAGGGAAGGAGGGGGAGAGAGAGAGAGGCTTTCCTTTGCTAGAAATAAAAAGGGAAGAAGCCAAGCATGTCAATACATTTCCATCAATTTCGACTTGTGGAAATGTAAAAGCTTCATGCTGTTGTGCAGATGCCTTTCCTGCCAAAATCCCTTTCTCCCTCTGAAAGACGGCTAATAAAGACACATCCACCCTGGACTTGCATTTGCATTTGCTGTAGCTGCTGTGAAAACGTCAGAACTGTGGAGTGCCTCAATGCAAATGCATTTTCTAGACCATGCCGCAAATTTTAGTAGTGAAAAATCCCGGAGAAAGAGATGTCTTTCCTCATTACCATGCACCCTTCAAATTGATTGCTATCTGTCATCTGCCCCTTCCAGTGTAAATAAAAAGTATCTCCTGGCTTAAGATCCTTATTTCCCTTCAGGTTCATGTATGCCCTCTATCCGATGATATTCATTGCTGCGCTATGCCTATAATGATGCAAGAATAAGGAATGAAAGACCAAATGGATTTCTAGTTTTGAGCTAAAAACATGGCTTTGTAAGAATATTCCTCCTAGCAACAGAGATGGAGGACTGGAGGAATTTATGGACGCTATGAAATATAATGATGTCTATTTATTTAGCTCTTACGTGGCATATTTAGTTCATGTTTTCAAAGGAATGTTTAAGCCTATATAGTCATTATTTTGAGATGTGTGTTATAACTGGAACGTACTACTGACCCAATCATTATGAGTCATCTTTAGAGATTGACTTCCACACTCTCCTCGATGCCTAGGCTGAACTTAATCTTGCTGCTACTGAAACCCTCCCCTCTCTCTGCCTGTCTTCTATGGAAATGGAGAATTGATCTTTTGATACAGACAGTGTAGTGTAACAACACTTCAGCTCTATAAAAGTAGATATTCCATTTCTTCTTGAGCCTTCTTTCTCCAATTTAAAACAACTAAAACACTTCTGATCTTTATCGTAGGATAAAATTGTCATCTTATTTTGTTATTCTTTTCATTAAGAGTTGTCTATTACACAAGAATGGTTTTGTTATTGATGAGCATCAAACAGGATGACAAACGTCTACAACATACTCTTTATAGAATGAGTTTATGCTTTTTCTTACAAAATTAGCCATATATTATTTATTTTAAAAAAGTGAAAAACTTTCAAAAACAAGTTAATTTTAATGCCACGATGCCTGTTAACATTTTGTTATATCTCTTTATTGTCTTTGTGTGTATTTAGGTATGTGCACATATATTATTACTGAAATATGAATCTTAGTCTCTTTTTCTCTTTCCTTCCCTCCCACCTCCTTTCTTTTCTTCTCTTCTCCTCTCTTCTCCTCTCTGTCTCTCTCTCTGTCTCTCTGTCTCCGTCTCTCTCTCTCTCTCTCTCTCTCTGTCTCTGTCTCTCTTTCTCTCTCTCCCTGGTTGCATAATATTCTCTTGTGTGGATATTTAACCTAAACCAAACCTTCATTGTTAAATATTTAAACCTTTTTCAAATGTTTACTATCATTAGAAGTAAAAACAAAATTCCCAGGACTAGTCCAATTCTTTGTACACACCCATGAGCATTTTCTTTCCCCTTAAAGTGACAGGTGTACATGGAAATCTTTGTCACTATGGCAATTACTTTGGGTTGGTATATAAGGTAGAATGACAATCTGTATTATTTCCTCCTGAATGGTTAACTGCTTGTCTCAGAATAATTTATTAAATAATCAATCATTCTTTACTGAAAGGAAAGGACAGCTCTTGTCATATATTAAATTCTTAAACACCCTTGGGTCTTTGGATTGTATGCTCTGCCATGCTACTGTCCTGTCTTTCAAGCATTGGGCCAGTGTTTTGCTATCTTGGCTGTAATAAGCTTAGAGTATTTTAAGGCTACATTAATTACAAAACATTCCCTCTTTATAACTGTCCTTCCTAAATTGACCATGAGTAATCACGTTTTTTAATTTTCCATATAAACCTTAGATTACTTTTTAAAGTTCATAATAAAGTTCCATTAAGATTTTTATGAGAATTACATTGTAGCTATAAATTAATTTGGGTAGAATTTATACATTTACAACATTTTATTCCCCCCCACCCCATAGGAAAATATCTGATTTCATCCATTCAGTTGCTTGTTTTTTCTTCTCAGTAAAATCTCACAATTTTTTCCATGTAAACCTTGCACATTATTTGTTAACTTTATTTCTAAATAATTGTGTTTTACATTGCATTATGTATGAGATGAAATTTCATGTTATCTATTTATTACCAGGATATAGAAATCTATTAATTGTTGTATGTTTTCTTAGTGAATTCCACCCTTGTTAAAATTTTTATTAGCTGTAATAGCTTTCAGTTTATTTTCTTGGGACTTCAGGTAAGCAAGTTATATTGCAATAATTCATTTAATTTTCTAATTATATCAGCTATTATTTCTAGAAAAACAATTGAGAGTGGGCAAAATTGCTTTCCCTTTCCCTATTTTTTCAACAGTGAGTATTTTAAAACCAACTAGCATTTATTCTAATTTCTTCTCTTGAGAAAATGCATAGTCAAATGAAAAATTAAGCTTGTTGTTTAATTTTTTATTTTGTCAAAATACAGTCTTAGGTAGAACTCATAATACATTTCTTTAGATTTCGAAAGAGAAGGGAACTTGAAAGGAACGTTTAGATCATCTGGACCAAAGTCACCATCTCCTTATAATTTTATAACTCTTTTCAACAGTATTCTGGGGCCCTTTACCCAATCTTTGTATCACTGTCGATAGCTATGTTTTTTGAAGCATTTCCTTTATACTTTTTATCAATATAAGTTACTCTTATTTTTGTTTTGTGGACAGAATGGTGCTTCCTTGGGGAATCTAAATAAAGCTATTCTATGACCAAAAACAAAATAATTATATTATCAGTATCAATTATCATTTAGCTTCTTTCCATATATGAGACACCATTCTAAAAGCTATAATATACTATCTTATTTTTTTTAATTTTGCCACCTACCACCTTTCATTGAAATTTTTCTTACAAATATGAAGTATAACTACTGAAATGTCCCAGTGAGATTTTAATTGACATAGTTTACTACCAGTGTTATATTTTTTCTTTATCTTTTAAAAAATCTTTTAAAATCGACTTGTTTCTTCTCCTGATTGAAAAGCAGACTTGATGATGGCTTAGCATAGATTTGGCCTCAGGTGACTCAAGTCATGACATAAATGCCCCCTGAGGTGCCCTCCTTCCTCTCCTATATCCTTTCTTTTTATTTTCTTTCCATTTCCCTTTTTTGGGGAATGGGGGTCTTTTTC